CCAAGAGGCCCCCAAGAAGCCCCAAGACGCCGCAAGAGGCCCCCAAGAGGCCCCCAAGAGGCGCCCAAGAGTCCTCCACGAGGCCTCCAGAGCCTCCAGGACGCCCCCAAGAGGCCCGCACGAACGAAACACTGCACTGCTGCAATTCGAGAATAAGCCCGACCACAGGCCTCGAAAGCCTGCAAGAGCCCTCTAAACCCAGACACAAACCCGAGTCCTGCAGTGCAGCGACCACAACTTGCACGGGTGCTGAAAAACGTGACACTGCAGGAAAAGATGTCGTTTTCTTGGTTTTCCGTGTCCTGGTTTATCTTTGTCCTGGTCTCCGGGGGCCTGACCTTCACTTGCGTTCTGGCTTCCGGCTTGCCGAGCGGGACGTCGATCAGGTTGCCGCACGGGGCCTCCAGGTAATAGACCAACATCGTACTCCACACGGTGCAACACGCCGCGCACTCCAGCCACGTGACGTCGTTCTCCACAATGTATCGACTCACGTGGCCGTAGTAATGGTCGTTCGCTATGCTCATAGGGATGGCCCCGCCGTCGAGGAACGAGGATGCCGCCTCGTGATCCCTTAATTTCCCCGTGCGGTCGCGGCAAACTGGCACCTCGCACTGCGGGCAGAGTTTCCTGCAGAACGGCGGCGTCTCCCAATCCTCCGAATGTCTGTCGGGACACGCGAGACATCGGACGTCCTCAGTGCACCCGAATAACTTCCCTGATCTGCCTTCGAAGCTGAACTGGACGGCCCGCCGCGACACGTGGCGCTCCTGTTTTCCAACACAGGTGCTCAACGGTTCACTTAACACCTGTTGTCCTCTCCACGGGTACGCCTTGCTTGACTCGAGGTCCCGATCCACGCACCGCTTCTGCCATATATCGAACCCGCAGTTGTTGAGCAGGGTTCCAGGGAAGTTCTTTTCAACGTCCTGGAAAGCCGCCTCTTTCCAATATTTTATCTCGACGTTGCCAGACGCGAGGGAGATGGAACTCGACTCCAGGTCAACTGGCGGGTACCCCGCGCACGTCGTGCGAAGCTGACCGCATATGAAACAGGCCAGACATCTCGTCGTCTCGTCGTTGCACCGAAGCGCGAGCAGGTTCAGGGATCGCCGAGTTGTCGACAGCCCCAACATTGGCCACCGCTCCCGCTCGGCAACGGCCATGGCCCCGTATACGTAGTCCAAGTTCGTCATCCAGCGAATATCATTGTTGCAGATCTTATTTATCACGCTGGCATGCGTGCGATCCCTGGCGCCCCCGGCAATATGGTGCAAGAAGGCTGCCCGGTCACTCGTGTGGAAACGGCAAGGCCCACTCTGGTTGTTCTGGAAAGGACACGAGTACAAAGGCAACTTCATTCCAGTTTCCAAATCGGGAGCTGTCAAGACTGCGCCGTCCGCCGTCAGCGGCAGCGTGGGCCGTTCTCGCATGAGTTTGCGGAGTTCTCGGCAGCGGCCATCAATCACGTCCATTTCCACGGGCGCTCCACGGACCTGCTCCGCGTCGGCGCCAACTGCAAAATATTGCTCCTCCACGTCGTCGCCCCCTTCGCTTTCAGATTCCTCGCCGGCGCCTTCGCTTGACTCCGAAGCGATGCCTTTGTCTCTGTCGGTTGCCTCGACAGCTGGCATTCCTGCATGGCCTGGGAACTGAAACCCCAAGAAATCGAGCACGTCCGTGACGCACTGGCCTCCTTCAGTCGCGGCGACAGCCGGCATTCCCCCTGGCTCTCCGCCGCATTGACGTGGTCGTCGCAACCGGCGTCGCATCCACTATGCATTTCGAAATCTTCCTTCAGATGCAATCCAGACTTTCCGCCGGTCGCGCGCCGCCCAGCGCGCGCCCCAGGCGGCGGCGGCGGCAGCGTGGCGCACTCGTTACTCTGGCCGTGCTTCTCTCGTTCGACTTCCTCGTCTGTCCTTGCTCGCTTTGCCAAGGCACTCCCATCCTCCTGCCGCGTCGCCTGCCCCGCCGCTCCATCGTTCCCGTCTCCGCGGCTTCTCTCTTCGGCAGGGGGGCGTGCCGGGGCTCTTTCACTCTGGGTTTTCGGGCGCTTCGCCTTTCTGCGCCCATCATCTTCAGTGGAGCGATCGCCTTCCGGGCTTCTCCCCCGCCCAGGCAAATGCTCCTGCGGGCAAACCCGCAGCCGCTCGAAGTGCGTTCGGACAGCACCCTGTCCGCCGTCATCTCGAAGGGACGTGGCGACCACCGGAAGGCCCGGGTCTCCGACGTGCGAACGCGCGCGCGTCAACTCGTGCGTCGCAGAGCAGTGCACGAAAATGACTACATTCTGCCCCTTGCAACGCGCCAGCGCAAGCAGTTCGATGTCACTGAAATAATAATCTGCGCACGTAGTCATGGCTTCCAGATAGGCAGGATAGACAGCATTGAAGAAATTTGCGGGCAGCCCGGCAGATTGGTAGTTGCACTCCCTGGCCTTGTCCACAGACTCTGCGAAAGCCCTTATAGGTTCCAGATCGACGCCGCCATCGAAATCGAGGCCGTCAACCAGGTCGTGAATCTTACTGAAAAACAAATCGAAGGAGTTCTGGAGACATGCGTCTTCAACGACACTTCTGTGCCACTCTCGAGCGCCAGCGCTTCCCGCGAACAGCGCCTCGTACTTGCTCAGGCGGCGCCCTCCGGAGAACTCATCAGATGCTTCTGCCGTGTACTTATCCAACAACCCCAGGGATCGCATCAAAGGCATTATGAAGACATCCTGAAAATCCTCGACGCAGAGAGAACCAAACTCTTGCATTATCCTTGTTTTACGCTCCCTGTGCAATTCAAACTTTTGCAGTTCTTCCCGACATGCCTCAACGCAGCGCTGACCCAGAAGGCAGTGCCACACGTGCTGACCTTCGTTGTCTCCCGCGTGCAGCGGAGCACCGAAGGGGTCCGACTGCTTCGCAAAGGGTTGGATCAAATCCCAGAGTGCCCATTCCATGTCGCCCAGCAGCTCCTCGGACGACAGCCTCGATTTGAAGATGTCAGCGGCGGGAGCGAGCGTCGCGCTTGACCAGCTCACCCCACTCCCACTCGCCCCACACAGAATGAATGGCGCACGCGCCGTCTCCAGCCGTAGGCATCGTTTCCATCATCACCCCCTGCAAGTCTCGCACCGCTCGAGGCAAGGGCGCGTGAACCTCACGTAAGTCCACGACTGGCATCTCCGTAAACTCTGCCGCACGCCCTCAGATGTTGGAAAGAAGAGCGTCCGTCAAAGCTAAGCTCACTGCACAAATGGTACGCGGAGCTCACAGTAAGCCAAGAATGGCTTGGGCCAACTTGCCTTGGGCCACAATGGCTACGGAAAATCGCTAGGGAATCGCAACCCCTTCGACCCTCTGATGGTAAAACCCTTGTGGACCCTAGCCTTCGTCACGCTCCCTTGTGAACCCGAGTCCCTTGCCGCGACTCCCAGGAACCAGCAATAGTGAAATCCCCAGAGCCAGCACGATCAGTAAACCCGATAGGAACCCAGAAGAAGAAGAAGGAAGAGGAAAAAAAGAAAGAAACAAAAATAAAAAAAACAAACCAACAACCAAAACAACAACAACAACAAAAAAAAAAAAAAAAAAAAAAAACAAGGCACCAGCAAAGGCGAGATCGGAGGAACCAGCAAAGGCGAGATACCAGGACGAGGGGCCCGAACGACACACACCACGAGGACCCCGAACGACTCACACACAAGAAGGGGCCCGAACGACTCACACCAGGACGAGGGGCTCGAACGACTCACACCACGTAGAGCCCGAACGACTCACACACGAGGAGTGCCCGAACGACTCGCACCAGGACGAGGGGCCCGAACGATTCGCACCACGAGGAGCCCGAACGACTCACACACACGGGGGGGCCCGAACGACTCGCACCAGGACGAGGGGCCCGAACGACTCACACCACGAGGAGCCCGAACGACTCACACACAAGGAGGGGCCCGAACGACTCACACCAGGACGAGAGGCCCGAACGACTCACGCCACGGGGGGCCCGAACGACTCACACACAAGGAGGGGGCCGAACGACCAACACCAGGACGGCGGGCCCGAACGACTCACACCACGAGGAGCCCGAACGACTCACACACAAGGAGGGGCCCGAACGACTCACATCAGGACGAGGGGCCCGAACGACTCACACCACCGAGGAGCCCGACACGACTCACACCACGGGGAGCCCGAACGACTCACACACAAGGAGGGGCCCGAACGATTCACACCAGGACGAGCGGCCCGAACGACTCACAGAAAACCACCAGAAGCATGCGCAAACGAGCGAACGGCTCGAACGACTCACACAAGAAAACGCAGAAAACGAGCGGCCCAAACGACTCGCAGAAAACCACCCGAACGACTCACAGAAAACTCACGAGAACCACAGAAGACCCCCTGAAGTCCCCTCCTTGTGTGTGAGTCGTTCGGGCTCCTCGTGGCGTGAGTCGTTCGGGCCTCTCGTCCTGGTGTGAGTCGTTCGAACGTCAACCAGTGGTGTGGAGTCGTTCGGGGTCTCCTCGTGGTGCGAGTCGTTCGGGCCCCTCGTCCTGGTGTGGGTCGTTCGGGCCCCTTCTTGTAGGTGAGTCGTTCGAGCTCCTCGTGGTGTGAGTCGTTCGAGCCTCTCGTCCTGTTGCGATTCGTTCGGGCCCCTCCTTGTGTGTGAGTCGTTCGGGCTCCTCGTGGTGTGAGTCGTTAGGGTCCCTTGTCCTGGTGTGGGTCGTTCGGGCCCTTCCATGAGTGCGAGTCGTTCGGGCTCCCCGTGGGGTGAGTCGTTCGGGCCTCTCGTCCTGGTGTGAGTCGTTCGGGTTCTTCCTTGAGTGTTTATCGTTCAGGCTCCTCGTGGTGTGAGTCGTTCGGGCCCCTCGTCCTCGTGTGAGTCGTTCGGGCCAAAAAAATTGCCATGAGTGCGAGTCGTTTCCGGGCGGGGGGGGGTGCGCGCACCACGTGGCGTCTTTCTTGGAGGTAGGGGATGGGTGCTCGGCAGTAAGAAGGTCGTTCATGATTGTTCGGTTCCTTGAGTGTTTTATTTTCGATTCCGGGGACAAGAGGCTCGCTCGGTGGTCTGAGTCGTTATCGGGAGAGTGAGGGGGGTGGCCCGCTCGGGTTTGGCCTCCGGCGGTCGGTGGCTGCGGTAGTGAGGTTGGTGCTCGAAGCAGCTCCTCCTCATCGTTGAGTCGGTTCGGGTGATTGGCCTGCCCCCCTCCCCCCCACCCCTGGCTGGCTGAGTCGGTGATCGGGCTGATTTGTCGTGTGCCCATTCTCATGTCTGTCCCCTGCGTGTGAGTCGTTCGGTCCCCTCCTTGTGTGTGAGTCGTTCGGGGCTCCTCGTGGTGTGAGTTCGTTCGGATGGGGCCCCGTCTGTCCTGGTGTGGTCCGTTCGGCCTCCCCCCCTTCTTTGTGAGTCTTTTTTCGGGCTCGCTCGTGTGTGTGGCCGTTCGGGAGCCCCTCTTCCTGGCGTGAGTCGTTTTTTCGTCGCCCCCTCCTTGTGTGATGAGTCGTTCGGGCTCCTCGTGGTGTGAGTCGTTTCGGGCCCACCTACGTCCTGGTGTGGTATCCTTCTGGCCCCCTCGTTGATTTGAGTCGAGTCGTATCGGCTTCGTCGTGTGTGAGTCGTGTTCGGGGCCTCTCGTCCTGTTGTGATTCGTTCGGGCCCCCCCTTCTGTGTGAGTCGTTCGGGCTCCTCGTGGTGTGAGTCGTTAGGGTCCCTTGTCCTGGTGTGAGTCGTTCGGGCCCTTCCTTGAGTGTGAGTCGTTCGGGCTCCCCGTGGGGTGAGTCGTTCGGGCCCCTCGTCCTGGTGTGAGCTGTTCGGGTTCTTCCTTGAGTGTGAGTCGTTCGGGCTCCTCGTGGTGTGAGTCGTTCGGGCCCCTCGTCCTGGCGTGGGTCGTTCGGGCTCCTCCTTGTGTGTGAGTCGTTCGGGCTCCTCTTGGTGTGAGTCGTTCGGGTCCCTCGTCCTGGTGTGCGTCGTTCGGGCCCCTCCTTGTGTGTGACTCTTTCGGGTTCCTCGACGTGTGAGTCGTTCGGGCCCCTCGTCCTGGTGCGATTCGTTCGGGCCCCTCCTTGTGTGTAATCGTTCGGGCTCCTCGTGGTGTGAGTCGTTCGGGCCCCTCGTCCCGGTGTGATTCGTTCGGGCCCCTCCTTGTGTGTGAGGCGTTCGGGCTCCTCGTGGTGTGAGTCGTTCGGGGCCCTCGTCCTGGGGTGAGTCATTCGGGTTCCTCCTTGTGTGTGAGTCGTTCGGGCTCCTCGTGGTGTGAGTCGTTCGGGCCCCTCGTCCTGGTGTGAGTCGTTCGGGCCCCTCCTTGTGTGTAATCGTTCGGGCTCCTCGTGGTGTGAGTCGTTCGGGCCCCTCGTCCCGGTGTGATTCGTTCGGGCCCCTCCTTGTGTGTGAGGCGTTCGGGCTCCTCGTGGTGTGAGTCGTTCGGGGCCCTCGTCCTGGGGTGAGTCATTCGGGTTCTTCCTTGTGTGTGAGTCGTTCGGGCTCCTCGTGGTGTGAGTCGTTCGGGCCCCTCGTCCTGGTGTGAGTCGTTCGGGCCCCTCCTTGTGTGTGAGTCGTTCGGGCTCCTCGCGGTGCGAGTCGTTCGGGCCCCTCGTCCTCGCGTGAGTCGTTCGGGGCCCAGACGCATACAAAAAGAAAGAACCATACGTCCCAAATTCGAGAACATTTCCCCCTTTGCATACACTGACAAAAGACAACCCCCAGGGAAACCCTGCAGAACCCAACTACGCGCGTGCGCTCCACAACGCCCGATTGAAGCCACTGGCTCCCCCTTTAACCATCTCGTCTTCTCCATGCGCCTCTTATCCACCGGCGCGGCACGGTGGCGGGGTGGGCCGGAGGCCATTAGGATGCTCCCAAGGGCGGTGGGCGGAGGCGCCAAAGGCTTCGAAAACCGCGAGGGAGGGAAGGATAAGGGAGAAGAAAAGGACGGAGAGGGAGGGCTCGGAGGCCCTTGGAGGGGGGATGTGCCCATCCGAGGGAACGGTGCACCCCCCCCTCCCCGCCATGAAAACGAGGCACCAGCCGTGGCAACGACCCCCCCCTATCCCCCCCCGCGACCTGAGTAGACCACCCAGGCCAGCGGAGGACGTCATAGGGGGCGGGGGTTCTGACTTCGATGAAAGAAGAAGGAGGAAAGCGGGGGGCAAGGATCAGGCAGACGAAAGCTCTTTTAGGCTTTACCCGGCGTGTGGAAATGCCCTTTTTGGGCTTCAACGGGGGCTAACCCGCGCGGTCGCCCGCAGGCGACAGGGCGCCCAGGCCCTCTCCGCGCGCGCGCAGGCGCGTGGCAAACTACATGCGCACGATCGTCCGTGGAATCGAATGGAACCGTCCGCGGCGAGTCGTCCGCGGCGACTCAGGACCACGCCGCCCTGGAAGAAGAGGCGCTACAAGGATGCACTCTGTGGCGCTGGAGATCCTGATGCGACGAGGACGCTGCAGAGAAACATTCTGCGCGCGTACGCACGACCTGGAACGACAAGCACAATGCGGGAACAAATTCGGTGACGCTGGAGTCCCCGATGAGACGAAGAAGCTGCAGAGACACGTCTCAGGGCGCAGCAACGCCGAAGTGACGCAAACGCACCCCGCGACACGACAAGGACGCTGCAAGAAGAAACTCGGCGACGCAGGAGTGCGTGGAAGCTACAGAGGCATGGAAAGGAGGCTACGAGGAAACTGCACAGCATTCGAAGCGCCTCGACGACGAGGAAGCTACAGAGGCATCTTCTGTGACACTGGAGCCCCACCGGACAAGTGCGCACTGAAACCCCGAAAAACGAAATCCCACCAGCCCTTTGAGCGTGAGTGGTTTAGGGGGCCCGCTCTGTTCTCAACCTCCCTTCTTCCCCTTCGGCGAGGGGTTGACCCCTCCCCCTACCCCCTCCCCCATGGACCTGGAAGGGGCCTTCCGCGGATCGTCAGAGGGCCCTTTGTCTATCCCTGGGAGAGCAAAATCCCACCAGCCCTTTGGGCGTGAGTGGTTTAGCGAGCCCCCTCTGTCCTCAACCCTTCTTCCCCTTCGGGGAGGGGTTTACCTTTCCCCCTGCCCCCTCCCCTGGACTTGGAGAGGGAGTTCCGAGTGGTGTCAAGGGAGCCTTATTCGACTCCTGGGAGGGCCAAAAAACCATTACCCTCACAAGGATTCTGGCCCCGGGGGGGGGGGGGGGAGTTCGGTGCCTCAGCTCGTCTTTGAAGCAAAAACCATTGATGTTACTACGGTGTTGGGCCCATTTGGGCCTTCTGAGGGGGCCGCGCTTATCTTCCCTCCTGGCAAAATCATTGATGTTACGAAGGTGTTGGGCTCATTCTGTCCTTCTCAGGGGGCGGCGCTCACTTGCGCATCTGAGGAGGTCGCAAGAAGCCCCAAGATGGCCCCAAGAGGCCCCCTGGAGGCTCCCAGAGGCCTCCAGGCCACAAGAGGCCCCAAGAGGCCCCAAGAGGCCCCCAAGAGGCCCCCAAGAGGCCCCAGAGAGCCCCCAAGATGCCCCCACGCCCCAAGAGGCCCCCAAGAGGCCCCCAAGAGGCCCCCAAGAGGCTCCAAGAGGCCCCCAAGAGGCCCCACGAGGATCCCGAACGACTCACACCAGGACGAGGGGCCCGAACGACTCACCCAACCGAAGAGCCCGAACGACTCACACAACAAGGAGGGGCCCGAAAACGACTCACACCAGGACGAGGCGCCCGAACGACTCACACCACGAGGAGCCCGAACGACTCACACCACGACGCGGCCCCGAACGACTCACACCACGAGGAGCCCGAACGAGTCACACCAGGAGGAGGGGCCCGAACGACTCACACCAGGATGAGGGGCCCGAACAACTCACACCACGAGAAGCCCGAACGACTACACCAGGACGAAGAGCCCGAACGACTCACACCACGAAGAGCCCGAACGACTCACACCAGGAAGAAGGGCCCGAACGACTCACACCAGGACGAGAAACCCCAAACGACTCAAACACGAGGAGCGCTTTCTCTCCCTCCTCCTCCGCCTCGTCCTTCTCCCGCTCCCCCCACAAGGAGGATGTACAAGGAGGCGGGAGGAAGGAGGAACAGGGGAGATATGCGGAACCAGCGCACAACCTGAAAAAAAAAAAAAAAAAAAAAAAAAAAAAAAAAAAAAAAAAAAAAAAAAAAAAAAAAAAAAAAAAAAAAAAAAAAAAAAAAAAAAAAAAAAAAATTATCCCGGCAAAGCAACCTAACAGCGATGTGTAGAGCATATCTGGAAGCATTCCCCTTAAGATTCAGATGAGAATCCAGTTGTAGAATTCTGCTGTTCTCGCAGTCGTAGTCGCATTCGCGATGACAGTCGCAGTGGCAACGGCAGTCGCAGTCACAGCCTCAGCCTCAGCCTGCCTCAGCCTCAGCCTCAGCCTGCCTCAGCCTCAGCCTGCCTCAGCCTCAGCCTCAGCCTGCTTCAGCCTCAGCCTCAGTCTGCCTTCAGCCTCGGCCTCAGCTTCAGCTGCCTCGGCCTCGGCTTCAGCCTCAGCCTCAGCCTCAGCTTGCCTCAGCATCAGCCTGCCTCAGCCTCAGCCTCAGCCTCCCTGCCTCAGCCTCAGCCTGCTTCAGCCTCAGCAGTCTGCCGTCGGCCTCGGCCTCAGCCTCAGCCTGCCTCAGCCTCAGCCTTCAGCCTCAGCCTCAGCCTCAGCCTGCCTCAGCCTGCCTCAGCCTCAGCCTGCCTCAGCCTCAGCCCAGCCTCAGCCTCAGCAGCCTCAGCCTCAGCCTCAGCCTCAGCCTCAGCCTTGCTTCAGCCTCAGCCTCAGTCTGCTTCAGCCTCGGCCTCAGCATCAGCCTGCCTCAGCCTCAGCCTGCATCAGCCTCAGCCTCAGCCTCAGCCTCCTCAGCATCAGCCTGCCTCAGCCTCAGCCTCAGCCTGCAGCCTCAGCCTCAGCCTGCTTCAGCCTCAGCCTCAGTCTGCCTTCAGCCTCGGCCTCAGCCTCAGCCTGCCTCAGCCTCAGCCTCAGCCCTGCAGCCTCAGCCTCAGCCTCAGCCTCAGCCTGCCTCAGCATCAGCCTGCCTCAGCCTCAGCCTCAGCCTCAGCCTCGCCTCAGCCTCAGCCTGCTTCAGCCTCAGCCTCAGTCTGCCTTCAGCCTCGGCCTCAGCCTCAGCCTGCCTCAGCCTCAGCCTCAGCCTCAGCCTCAGCCTCAGCATCAGCCTGCCTCAGCCTCAGCCTCAGCCTGCCTCAGCCTCAGCCTCAGCCTGCTTCAGCCTCAGCCTCAGTCTGCCTTCAGCCTCGGCCTCAGCCTCAGCCTGCCTCAGCCTCAGCCTGCATCAGCCTCAGCCTCAGCCTCAGCCTGCCTCAGCATCAGCCTGCCTCAGCCTCAGCCTCAGCCTGCCTCAGCCTCAGCCTCAGCCTGCTTCAGCCTCAGCCTCAGTCTGCCTTCAGCCTCGGCCTCAGCCTCAGCCTGCCTCAGCCTCAGCCTGCCTCAGCCTCAGCATCAGCCTGCCTCAGCATTCAAAATGTGGCCCGGGAATGGAGTTCTGGGAACTCGAAGAACACGAAGTGGCCTACAGTTGGCTCCGGGCATTCAAAATCATGCCCAGGAATGGAGTTCTGGGAACTCGAAGACCACGAAGTGGCCTACAGTTGGCTCCGGGCATTCAAAATGTGGCCCGGGAATGGAGTTCTGGGAACTCGAAGAGCACGAAGTGGCCTACAGTTGGCTCCGGGCATTCAAAATGTGGCCCGGGAATGGAGTTCTGGGAACTCGAAGAGCACGAAGTGTGTGACTGTTGCATCCGGCCCTCCAGAATGTGGCCCGGGAATGGAGTTCTGGGAACTCGAAGAGCACGAAGTGTGTGACTGTTGCATCCGGCCCTCCAGAATGTGGCCCGGGAATGGAGTTCTGGGAACTCGAAGAGCACGAAGTGTGTGACTGTTGCATTCGGCCCTCCAGAATGTGGCCTGGGAATGGAGTTCTGGGAAATCGAAGAGCACGAAGTGTGTGACTGTTGGCGAAAAACGAGCCCGGCACCTGCCGCCCGGCAACTCCCAACACCTGCCCGGACCCCCCTGTGGAGTGATCTGTGAGCTCTTTTGAGTCAACTAGAAACCTATCAGTCTTCGCTGTTAGGTAACAACTGTCGACATGCTTCGCGAGAGCTGCTGCTGTGAGCTGGGCTGGTGGGGATACGCGAAGCGTAAAGAATTTGGCATCGTGGACGAGGCGGCGGTGTTCGCAGGAGCGGCCAAGGAGGACGACCGCCCCATGATTTGCCCGTTGTTGCTGGAGTACGTCTCCAAACAGGTCGAGCGCGACGCAGGGATGCTGAAGCAGATCAGGAAGGCCCGTGAAGAGCGTCGCGCTCTGTCATCATGAGCTCGACGGGCGGCGCCTGGGTTCCCCTTGCCCAGGTGCCCGCCAAGCCGAGAGAGGGGGCAGGCGTTCGCCTCGCGCCTGCAGCTGCACTTCCTGTACATGAGGATCCTCCTCCCTGCGCTGCTGATCGCCAGCGTGATCTCTTTCCCCTTCCCCTTCGTGGCGCGGGGGCTCCGCCCTCGCAGTCTTCTTCCCCGCTGACACGGTCAGTCCGAAGGCGTCTGGAGAGGCGCCCCCACTTCGACGGCATGGTCAACGACATGGCCACGACGCTGAATGAGTTGTGGGGCTGCCAGGCGCCAGGTCGCGGTCAGGCGCCCGCGGGCTCATCGACGCCTTCGGCCGGCCACGAACAGGTCTTCCGGGTGCTGAGGGAGGCTGCCTCGCGGTTCGGCCCGTGCCCCGCTGACCTGGGCGGTCCAGGGGCCCTTGAGGAGCTCCGGATATTTCAATCATACGAGGGTGACGCCACGATGGTTGCCCCGGTGAGCTTCGGCACCGTCGACTCCATCTCGCTGCCAGCTGCGGGCGCTCGACCGACGCCCATGGTGGACATCGACGAGGTGGCAGGACAGAACATCGCTCGCCGGCTTCAAGAGTTGTTTTTACCCCGACAGCTGGGGTTGGAACGTCTTCAGGAGGCAGGGCCGAGGCGGCTCTACACTGACCTTGCCCTCCGCAATCCGCGCCTCTACGCCGAGGTGGTTCGGTGGCTTCAAGACGCCGGGCTCGTGGACTTCCACAGCGCGGCCGAGTGTAACGTGGGCCTGTTCTTCGTGCGCAAGAAGAGCGGGCAACTCCGCATGATCCTCGACGGCCGCCACGCCTCGCCCAGGTTCCACGCGGCGGACTCCGTGGAGCTCGCCACCGGCGCGGCCTTCTCGCAGATCGCCGTCGACGGCGACGAGCCGATCTGCATCGGCGGGGTCGACATCGCCGACGCGCTCTACCAGATCGAGATCCCCCCGTGGCTCCGGCGGTTTCGCTCGGGCATGCCGCGCGTTCGCGCCGGAGACGTCGGGATCGCCACCCTCGCCGACGGCGCGCCCGTCAAGGCCTCCTCCTGGGTGGTGGTGCCTTGTTTCCGCTGCCCGCCCATGGGCTGGAGCATCGGCCTGCGGGTCTGCCAGTCGCTGAACGAGGCTGTAACCGCTCGGGCTCTGCCGGGCCAAGCTAGTCGACGGCTGGTGGATCGCCGCCCGGCCCCGGCTCTGGCTGAGGGGCCGCGCCGCGCCGTATACGTGGACAACTTCATCGCGCTGCCCCACCGTCCTCGTGAGGTTCGGGCGGCTGCGTCAACCGTCGAGGCTGAGCTTGGGGCCTCGTCTCTCCCCACGCATCCGGCGGGGGCGTCGGTGGGGGGCGACGCGCTGGGCTGGCACTTCGACGCTGGTCGCCCGGTAATCGGGCTGGCTGTTCGTCTTCGGTGGCGCCTCCGTCTGGCCATCGGCGAGCTCCTCGCGAACGGCCGGTGCAGCGGCTACGCCGTGATGAAGGGGATCTCCCACTTCACGTCGCGGGCGCTGATCCGCCGCGAGCTGCTGAGCTGCCTGAGCTCCGTGTACGCCTTCGTGGGCGAGGGCACTCGGGAGCGACGGCGTCTACCTCCTGCGGTGAGCCGGGAGCTCCGCAGGTGCCGCGCCCTCCTGCCGTTGTACTACCGCGACGCCAGGCGCCCGCTCACGCCGATCGTTTCTTGCGTGGGCGCCTCGCGGTGGCCGGAGTTGCCGAGAAGCCCCTCTCCCCTTCTCAAGTCCATCGTCTGTCGCTCTCTTCAACGAGAGATGGCGTTTCTCGAGAGATGGCGAGCAGCAGATCGCGCCCCGGGACCAGGCCCTCGCCCAGGAGAGCAAGCAAGCCAGATCGATTACCTCGACCTTCTCGAAACAGTCCTCGTCGCACCCTGCAGCAGTAGCCTCGGCCCTGGAGCAGCAGATCCCGTTCCGGTTCGAGCGCGCCCAGGGCCAGGAGGAGGTGGAGGAGGCACCGTTCGAGGAGGTGCCGCAGGAGGTGTGGGCGGACGGGTGGCATCGTGCATTGTCGTCGCCTTGGAGTCGGAGGGTGTCGCAGGTGGCGCTGGAAGGTCGGGCTCTCATCCTGTGTCTGAAACGCCGCCTTCGAGCTCTTCGAAACTTCGGCACTACACGCGTTATCCTGAACGACTCGATGGCTCCGTTGCTGGCTTTGCCCAAGGGCAGGTCCTCATCCATCTGCCGCCAAGCCTGTGCTTTGCTTCTGGCCTCGGACTGTTCGGCAGCGTGGCGCTGGCTCCCGTCCGAGCACAACAGCGCGGCCCTGGCCTCCCGCGACCAGGCTGGCGACGTTCCCGAGGCTGTTCGGGCTGGCGCCGTGCCGGGTCTGGCGGGCCATGGCAGCGCCCCTGTCCACGGCGAGCCTGGGCTTCGTCGCCAGCAGCCCCCCGCCGCGGCCAGCGCGCAAGCGCCCGGCCGCTGCCTCGCCGCGGCCGGCGACGGCGGCCCGCAGGACCTCGGGCCCCGGCTCGGCGGCCGCCACGGCCGAGAGCGACCGACGGGCGGTCCGCCGCCGCGAGAGGGCCGAGAGGTTCGGCTCACCGCCGAGCTCGGCCCCCCGCCAGGGCTTGACTTTCCTGGAGGAGCAGTCGGTGTCGGAGGCCACGCGGATCGACTACGAGCGCCGCCGCCGGGCCTTCAGCCAGTGGGCAGCCCAGAGGGGCATCAGCATCGAGACGCCCCCGGAGGTGGACGATGCGCTGGCGCGGTTCTTCCGCGAGGAGTTCCTGGACGGGGGCGAGAGCTGCGACGCCTGGAAGCTGATGGCGGCCCTGGCCTTCACGAGGCCCGACCTGGCCACGCGGCAGGGGCGGCTTCCCCGTGCGGCGCGAGCCGCGAAGGGCTGGGCTCGCCTTGCCCCAGCCCGGTCGCGCCTGCCCCTGCCGTGGCCGGTGGTCTGCCTGGTCATCGAGACGATGTGCGGCCGGGGGCTCGTGGCTTTCGCATGGATCACGGCGGTGGCCTTCGCCCTGTATCTTCGGCCTCGCGAGGCCGTGGACTTGGTGCAGTCCCAGCTGATCCCGCCGGGCTTCACGGCGGCCACCAGCGTCCACTCGCGGTGCGTCGTGCTCCACATGTTCGAGCGCCTCACGCCGTCCAAGACGGGGGTGTTCGACGAGGGCCTCCTGATCGACTCAGCGTGCTCCCCGTGGATGCCGGGCCTCGTCGCCGAGCTGCACCGCAGGACGACGGCCGGGCATCGCCTGTTCCCGGTGTCCTACGCCCAGTGGAACTACCGCTTCAAGGCCGTCGTCAACAGCCTCGGCCTCAACGCCCTGGGCAACCTGAGCCTGCACCAGCTCCGGCGCGGAGGGGCCAGCCACGAGCTGTACGCGGCGGCGCGGCCCCTGAAGGACACCCAGAAGCGCGGCCGCTGGGCCACGGACGCCGCGCTGCGCAGGTACGCGAAGGGGGGGCGCGTGCAGGAGCAGCTCCACCGGCTGCCGCCCGGCCTCCAGACCCAGGCCGAGCGCGCTTTCACCCGGATTGGCGCGACCCCGTCGGCCAGCTGGCTGCGTGGGTGAGGCGCGCGGGCCGCGGTGTCTTCCTGGAAGTCTCCAGCGGCGCCGGGGGGGTGTCGGCGGCCCGGCGCCCGGCCTTCAAGGCGCAGCGCGCCGCCTTCGAGCTGGACTTCAAGAACTCGTCCAGCCACGACCTGCTCCTCTGCGCAGGTTGGTTCGAGGGTGGGTGAGGGGCCGTCTCGTCGTCGCCATCTGGATTGCCGCGCCCTGCTGCTCAATGAGTCGGGCACGCAACCGGCTAACGGCCCGCCTCCGCTGCGCACCCGCCTTTTTCCTTCGGGTCTTCCAGGCCTCTCGCCGGGAGATCAGCTGAAGGTAGAGCGTGGGGCTACCCTGGCCACCTTCAGTTTCTCTCTGTTCTTGCTGGCACGCAGTCTGAACATTCCAGTGGTGATCGACAATCCTAGCACGTCTTGGTTGTGGCAGCTCCCAGGCGCGCTGAATCTTCTGCGAATTCGTAAGACTCACGCTCCTGATTTTGATTTCTGCGCTTTTGCCACCCCGCGGCGAAAGCGCACCAGGCTGCTGTATTGTCACGTTAACCTCGACTCGCTCGTACCCTGCAAATGCTTCGGTCGGGGCTGCTGCTCCTTTAGTTGCCGCCCTTACCAGGTCCTCGAAGGGAAGAATGCTGACGGAGTTTGTTGGACGCATCTTGCAGAACCGTACCCCAAGAGGTTATGCCGGCTTGTGGTTCAGAGTTATAAACAGGCTTTGAGAAGCCACATTTTTTTGAGCCTGAGCAGACTTGTGGCCTAGCGGCCAGGGATTCAAATTCGCCGTTGCTCGAGCGCTTGCTAAGTTTCGGAAGTGTATTGGCAGTCGCCCGGCTGCCGTCGTCTTGGCCGCGTGGCCTGCCCGTGCACTGGAGCTCCAGAGAGAGCCTTCACACGGAGTTGCGGATGCAAAAAGACTGGCCCCCTGGAGAGCCCCTAGCTGACACAGATTACTATGGCGTGCCAGTGTTTCTTTGTTGCTGTTGGGATCGGGAAGGGGGCCGCGGGCGTTCATGCTCAAGCCACCCGCCCGCGCATGCGTTCCCAGCCGTTTTTCAGCTCGAGCATTTAGAAGCGCATTGGCAGTCACCCGGCTGCCGTCGTCTTGGCCGCGTGGCCTGCCCGTGCACTGGAGCTCCGGAGAAAGCCTTCACACAGAGTTGCGGATGCAAAAAGACTGGCCCCCTGGAGAGCCCCTAGCTGACACAGAGTATTTGCCATCGATACCAAAATTGCTTGAGATGGCTCGCCTCCTACTACTGGGATTATCGCTACTACGGTACAACAGAGCTGGAGCTGGGCTTCGCCTAAGGCGAAGCTGCTGGTTGGGCCTCTCAACCCCTTTCAAACTTACGGGTGGAGGGATCAAAGGGAAGGGATTTCTTTTCGACTGACTTTCGACGTTGCTCAATTTCGCTTTGGTTGGCGCGCTTGGGGTGGAAGGCTCAGGAAAAAGGGGAAGAGCGGCGATAGGCCCAGGGAAATGGGGGCCGCAGGAGAAGGGGACGACATAGACGACGACTAACGAATGACGGAGACGACGACTCGAACGGACAAACCCTTCACACACGCCGAAAGAGTCGGCGGATTTGGCCCCTTGAGCTTGGTTTCTTGGCTCATTTGTTCCTTGGTTCTGGTTCTGGTTCCTGGATTCCTTGGGCCTGGCTCCTTGGTTCCTTGGAATTGATCCTCGGTTCCTTGGTCCTCGGTTCCTTGGTCTCGGTTCCTTGATCGTGGCCCTGCGCCCCCACCCACTTACTCATCCTTGCCTGGGAAGCGCTCTCCTCATTGGGGTCGCGCTGGGCTCCCTCTTCCTTTGGAGGACGACGAGCTCCGCCCCACCGCCGCCGAGTGCCTGCACCACCCGTGGCTGGCGGGCCACGGGGCCACGGCGCGCGGCGCCGGAGCGGGAGCGGCCGTGCCCAGAGGCCTGCCCAGCTGCGTTTCCGACGTGGTGCTCCGGCAGGAGCTCGCGGGCGTGGCCGCGGCAGAGATGGACCTGGGCTGCGTGTTGCACGCGGAGGATCAGAGGAACAACGAGCAGAAAGACGATACCGCTGCTCGTCCTGGAGGGCCCGCGTCGCACCCGCTGGATTCGCCTCCTAATTCTGGTTGGTCCGCGGAGCATCGAAGAAGTAACGGCATAGGTCCGCGCGGATTTCTTGGATCGGCGTTGGCCCCCCTGGCGGCGCCTCCTGCGCTGCCCCTGGCGTGCGCAGGCGCCGCCAAGGAGGGAAGTGCATGCTGCTTCGCATGAGTCTGATGCCAATGAATGGAAGAGAGTTGGATCCGTCAGTGGATCAGTCCTGTTTACTGACGTAGAAGCTATGATGTTTCTTTTTGGTAGTGGGCCAGCTTATGATGCCAACCCATGCCCACCCCGTTCCGTCTCCAGGGACTTCGCATCCCCCTATGATGTTTGAAGGATGGGGAGACGGTCCGCCGCCCCCTGCGCTGCAAGTGCCTTCCTCCTCCTGGTCCTGTCGGCGATGGCCCGGTCCTGCAAGGGTGTCCGAAAGTCCTGGGGGCCCGAAAATCCTGCTGGGCGTGTTGGCCCAATAATTTCGTCAGGCACGGCCCGGCGATGCTCGAGCTCCAGGCACGCGCATACACAGACCACCTGAACGTAACACCATGAATCCGAGAAAAGGCCCCGAAGTTCTTTGAATCTAATTGTTTTAACGCCGTTCAGTTGTAGCACGAAGTTTGGCCCACGGAGAAGATAACACGCAAAAACCATGGAGATAACGAGTGCGCACAGACACGACTCTACCAGCTGTAGTCTTACACAGTTCCGACTCCATCGGCCTCGGTAGTTGCTAGAGGCTCGCTGCGGCGCCTGAAGGTGCCCCCCTGGGTCAGTGCCAAGGCTGCGGATCGATGGCGCGGGTCAGGGAACCGCCAGCCACGAGAGGGCCAGAGGAGCAAGAACGGCAGTGACAAGGAGAACGCCAGGGGAGGAGGAAGAGGAGCAGAAACAGGGGCAGGGAGAAAACGTGGGCAGAGAGGCCGAGACGAAGGCAGGGGAGAGGCAAGGGGGAGGGCGCATTTTCTACGCAGACGGTGTGACCAGTACCCAGCGCCGTGGCACTGGCGCAGCCTGGGGGGGAGGGGGGAGGGGACTTACGTGGACCAATGGCACATTCCCTCACTTACCCACGTCTTGAAGAGCTGCTCCGGGTAGCCGGACACCTCGATGAGGTGCTGCCCGGATCCGCTGAGAGCGTCGAGGCGGAGGGTGGGCGGGGAGGTGAATTGAGCCACCCGCGCCACGATGCCGAGGACCACCGCGCGCTCGATCCCTCGAGGGACGAAGCTGTAGTAGGGCACGAAGCCTTCGAACTCGAAATCCCGACCCGCACCGCCTAGGTGCCCGACGGCGGGTCGGATCTCCACAGACCCGTCCAGGTTCAAATGGATGTCCGTGCTGACGAACTTGAGGGAGTCGTCGCGTCCACGGGGCAGAGGATATCGCTCCAAGGCCCGGCGCGCCAAGCATGCCGACAACATGGTGATGTCGTTGGCCCGCAGTTGGGGCGAGCCCTTCCAGAGCAAGATGTAATCGTCCGTGTAGCGTATTTCCAGGATCCAAGCAATGTAGCCCATGCTGTTTGCCTCGGATATGCGTCTCCTATGTCCCAATGGGGGCAAGACCTGCCCATGCAGGGAATAGGAAAAAATCGCCGCCGCCGAAGATCAGGGCCATGCTGGTGAGAGCGGGCCCCATCGGGCTACCCATGGCAAGGCCCTCCACCTCCATGCCGCCGAGCCCGCCGAGTAAGAAGAAACCTGTGCGCAGGTGGTGCATGATGATCACCTTCAGGTCCTCTATCGTGAGCCTCATGCAGTGGCCATGAATCCTGGACGGCGGGCAACCAGGGAGGGCACCGCGACCCTGCCTCGCCGGGCCACGCGGATGGCCGCGACTGAATTTTAAAGGACGGACTGGTAGAAGGCCCATGCACGACGGACCAAGTCCTGCGGCATGTTCGCGAAACAACTAGCCACGTCAGAGCCGCAGCTCCGGACCGGTGTCTCGGGTCCGGTATCGCCGAATTCGCGGATGAGCTCGATGACAGAATCCGTACGCTGGATGTCGATGTGGGCGTGCTGGGGAAGGAACGGGCCCCCCACCCAGTCCAACGCCCGCGCGGCCAGGGTTTCCAAACAGGCCGTGGGCCAAGCCGAACGGTCGACAAGGGGGCGGCGGTCGTTTGGCTTCGACAGTTTTGTTATTTGGTGCGCTCGCCTTCGCCATCTTCCAACATGATCGCCTCCTACTGCGCCCCGGTTGGATATCCGCCGACAGCCCCAGACCGTGGACATGTGTTGCAGGACGGCCTCGGCCGTGAGCTCCGTGCAATAATGTGGGTTCCCGATTAGAAAAACTGCCACCCCCCCACCTCCCAAGTTCCACAATGGGGAAGGACGCGATTAAAATTATCGACCGGAAACTTTTTTTCTACTCGCCTCGCTCCTGCATCCCTCCTCACTCCCCCTCCCCCCTCTTGGATTTTGATTTCCCTCTTCTCCCCCCCTCGCCGTTCCCCCCCCCACGCTTGTCTCGCCCACCGCAGGCGGGGGCGGTTCTTCGCCTGCTTCGCGTGCTGGCGGTGGCGTGCCCTCTTAGTCGTGGCTTCCAGTTTAGAAAGTCGTGGCCCGGGAGCTTTCGCGCGAGACATCCTCGAGAAAGTCGCCCTCGAAAGGGGCTCAATGGTGTGCAAACCTCGAGAGCGCCGCTCGCCTGTCGGCCGAAGTTAAAATGCGTCCTTTTCCCACTCAGTCCTACACTGCTCCTGCAAGTTCCTAGATACTCTTATCTACTCCGAATTATTCCTAGCTATTATTTCCTACGTTTTACTTGATATCCCCTGCTATCACGACCTAGTCCTAGCTCTTTCTACCTATCCTGAGCTATTCCGAATTATTCTTGGCTATTCAGACATATTCTTAGTTACTCCTTGCTATTCCTGCCCATTCCTAGCTATTCTGACCTATTCCTGGAAGTTCCTACCTGTTATTATTTCACTGGTTATTGCTACCTCTTCCTACCCATCCCTACCTATCTCTACCCATCCCCAGCTATTTCATACCTATTCCCAGCTATTCCTGTTTATTCTTAGCTGCCTCTACAATTTCCTGGTTCCTACCTAGTCCTAGCTATTCCTATTCATCCCTACCTATACCCACCGAGTCCTGGCTATTCCGATGTATTCCGAGCTACATTGTCCCACGTGTTCCAACCTATTCCTAGCTGTTCCTGCGTATGCCTACCTATTCCTAGCGATTTCTACCTATTCCGACCCACCTATTCCGACCAATTCTTAGCTATTCCTCGCTATGCGTGCGTAGGCATACTCATGCATGTCTAGTTACTCTTAGCTATTCATTCCTAGTTATTCCGAGTTATATTCCGAGCTATGCCTATTCATTATTAGTTATCCCTAAGACCTTCTAGCTATTCCTATGCACTCCTAGGTATTCCTACCTATTAGTTCCTATTTCTAGATATTCTTACCGACTCCTATCTATCCATGTCGTGCGTAGTCAGAATTGTTTTTCGCAAAGTAAGCTCCAACTGACTGACCAACTGACTGGTCGCACCCGTTGCGCGACGGTTTTATTTTCGGCGGCCGAAGGCGCAACCTATGGCGCAAACAGTAGGAGGCGTTTTTATGTTCGGCCCCCGAGGGCGCAGCTTATGGAGCAACCACTACGAGGCGGTTTTATTCTCGGCCGCCGAGGGCGCAACACATGGCGCAACCAATAGGAGACGGTTTGATGTTCGGCCGCCGACGGCGCAACGTATGGCACAACCAGTAGGAGACGGTTTTATTCGTGGCCGCTGAGGGCGCAATCCATGACGCAACCGAAAGGAGACGGTTTTATTCTTGGCCGCCGAGGGCGCAACTTGTGGCGCAACTGATGGGAGACGGTTTTATTATCGGCCGCCGAGGGCGCAAAACATGGCGCAACCAATAGGAGACGGTTTTATTCTCGGCCGCCGAGGGCCCAACCTATGGCGCAACCAATAGGAGACGGTTTTATTTTCGGCCGCCGAGGGCGCGACCTATGACGCAACCGATAGGAAACGGTTTTATTCTCGGCCGCCGCGCAACTTAAGCTGTCTGCCGCCGACTTTTGAAAAGAGTCATGGGGGTCATGCGAAGCACCACGCAGACAAGCATCCACGACACGCCGCACCTGCCATCATAATGCGACGGCACTAGTACCGCGAGGCTGGCCCCCGCCGCCGCCCCAACCTCGCGGCACCCCCCGCGCGGCGGGGTGCACCGTGAGGCTGGACCCCGCCGCCGCCCCAACCTGACAGCACCCTCCCGAAAGGCGGGGGGTGCCGTGAGGCTGGCCCCACCGCCGCCCCAACCTCACGGTACCCCCCGTTGCGCTGGGGTGTCCGTGAGGCTGGCCCCCGCCGCCGCCCCATCCTCGCCGTACCCCCCGCACGGCAAGGCGGGAGACACCGTGAGGCTGGCCCCCACCGCCGCACCAACCTCAGAGTACCCCCGCGCGGCGGGGGGTACCGTGAGGATGGCCCCCGCCGCCGCCCCATCCTCGCGGTACCCCTCCGCGCGCAGGGGGGCACCGTGAAGTTGGCCCCCGCCGCCGCGGTTGGCCCCGCCGCCGCCCCAACCTCACGGCCCCCCCCGCCGCGCCCGGGGTACCATGAGGCAGGCCCCGCTGCAACCCCAACCTCACAGCCCCCCCCCCCCCGCGCGGTGGGGGGTACCGCGAGGCTGGCCCCCGCTGCCGCCCAACCTTGCGGTATTCCTCCGCCGCCGCCCCAACCTCACGGTACCCACGGCGCGCAGGGGGGAGCCGTGAGGCTTGCCCCCGCCGCCGCCCCAACCTTACGCCCCCCCCCCTTGGCACGGCGGGGGGGGCCGTAAGGTTGGCCCCCGTCGCCGCCCCAACCTCACGGTGCCCCCCGCCGCGCTGGTGCACCGTGAGGCTGGCCCCCGCCGCCACCCCAACCTCACGGCACACCCCGCGCGCCCGAGGGTACCGCGAGGTTGGCCCCCGCCGCCGCCCCAACTTCACGGCCCACCGCCACGCCGGGAGGTATCGCGAGGTTGGCCCCCGCCGCCGCCCCAACCTCACGGTACCCCCTGCGCGCTGGGGGGCGCCGTTAAGCTGGCACCCGCCGCTGCCCCAACTTCACGGCACCCCCGCGCGGCAGGGGGTACCGTGAGCTTGGCCCCCACCGCCGCTCCGACCGCGAGGCTGGCCCCCGCAGCCGCCCCAACCTCACGGCACCCCCCCCGCCGTGAGGCTGGCCCCCGCCGCCGCCTCAACCTCACGCTACCCCCGCGCGGCGGGAAGCATCATGAGGCTGGCCCTCACTGCCGCCCCAACCTCACGGCACCCCCCCGCCGCGCCGGGGGGCGCCGTGAGGCTGGCCCCCGCCGCCCCGACCTCACGGCACCCCCCGCGCGGCGCGGGTGCCGTGAGGCTGGCCCCCACCGTTGCTCCAACCTCATGGTAATTACCCCTCCCTGCGGCGGGGGGCACCATGAGGCTGGCCCACGCCGCCGCCTTAACCTCACGCCCCCCCCCCCGTTGCGGCGGGGGGGGCTGCCGCCCCAACCTGATTCAATGCTTGCCAACCAATCGGGACCGAACCCACCGCGCCCCTGGAGGGCGTCGAGGGCCGTGGCCCGCGGCGGGCCCTGGACGGGCGCGCGTTGAGTTCATTGTTGGGCATGGGCAGAAGCGAGATGAACCAACGTACGCCAACGTGTCCGCACGTGCCGTCGATGTTTGTAGCACGCGCGAGTTCGGCAGCTCTCACTGCTGGCGCTGCCAGCCAGGGAATTGCATGTCCGCGCTCGCCCTCCAGAGCCATACCCCGTTCCGAACCAACAGCACTGCCCAGAAACATTTAGTACGAGGTGCCTTTTCGAGGCCTCGCGATGGTTCGTCGCGGATCGGAGGCCCCTTGAAGCGAGGGGCGGTGCCAGCATCGCGCGCGCGCGCGGTGGCAGGTGATCCCGCTTTTTGCTTGGCGCGGCTGGTATTTTTGTGATTTTCGTTTCGTGCGTGCGCTGTGCCCAGCGTGGCCACGGCGCCTCGTGTGCTTGGCGTGCCGCTGGTTTGCCTGACGCGCGCGCGGCGCGCGCGCGCTCTTGTCGCGGGTGGTCCTCGATTTGTTTTGTTTTTGTTCCCAACCCTCCCGCGTGTCAGGTCCTCGCTTTAAATTCGCAGCGCTTCGCGCCTCGTCCCTTCTGCTCTTCTCCCCTCTCCTCTCCTCTCCTCTCCTCTCCTCTCCTCTCCTCTCCTCCTCCTCCTCCTCCTCCTCCTCCTCCTCCTTGTTCCTCTCCGCTTCTTTTCCTCATCATCCATTCCCTTTTGTCTTGCGTGGTGTGCTATATTTTTGTGGCCGCGCCGATGCAATTTCAGCGCGCCCTTCGCGCCGCGCGCAGTTCGTTGTCCCTGGGCGATTTGTTTTTGAAAGTCCCTGTGGCGCAAACCGCATGCCGGTGCCGCGACCGGTCTATCACGCCCATCGCGCGGTTCGCGGCCCCGCGCGCAACCCTGCCGACGCGTTGTGGTCGCGCGCTGCCGCGCCGACCATTCCAGATCCATGTTCGCAAGGTTCGTGGCCCTATGAGGAGCTCAATCGACATGCTGCAGAGCGCAAGCCGCATGCCGCCGCCCAGATTGTTCGAGGCCGCCCATCTCGCAGTTCGCGGCTCCATATTTTTTCGAATCCCATCGAAGACCCCCGCGGCGCAGACCGCGCGCCGCGCCCGGGCCATTTTGACGCGCCCGCCACGCCATTCGTGCCCCCATAGGGAACGCCACCGGATACCCGCAGCATAGGCC